GCGCGCCTCTCAGCTCCGCAGGTGAGGAGGAGGAGGCAGAACAAGTTCTCTCTGGACTCTCGGTTCCGTTTCGGCTCCAGTTCTCCTCAGACCTCCAGCTGATTGCAGAGCCGGACCGGACCCACCGGGTCTGCAGCTCCTCCGGATCCAGGTTCGGATGAGAAACTCGGTTCCTGCGTTCAGAGGTTTTGTCAGAACTGATCCGGTTTTTGGGTCTGAAGTTAAACCAGCTCCGGTTCTTTTGGACTCTGGCGGATGAAGGTTGAAACTTTAAAGAACCGGTTTTTGGATCGATCCGGATCAAAGCGGAGGATTTAAACTCTTCAGCATCTCCTCAGTTTCTCTCCGAACTTTGGTTCCGTCCATGGATCTCACTGATCAGGTCTGAGGTCCAGATGAATCCAGACCCAGAGCCTCCGGTTCTTCCTCGTGAACGCTCAGGTCGGTTTGGATCTGGATCGGAACCAGAGCAGCTCCTCCTTTGCTCCTCCAGGTTTTGTGATTTTTAATAAAAAACTGCTTCTGGACCGGGTCAGGAAGTGGTCCACCTGAACCCGAGTCTACATTCTGGACCCAGAACCAACTTCAGTTTTTTCTTTTTGATAAAACTGGATCTGAGCTTTTGGTACCGGGTAGCTCCTGATTCCATGAGAGTTCTGAGAAACTTGATTTGGACCCAAACAGGTTCTTTTGGTTCTCCAGTTGTCCAATCAGAACCAGAACCAGAAACAAACTTTATTCACTGTAACTGGACCTCAGAACTTCTTCAGATGGTCTGGATCTCCTCCAGAACTCAAGACCTCCTGGACCTGAAGAGTCTGAGGAGGAGTTCTCAGAAGATCCATGAATCCATTAGAACCCTGGAATCTCAGAACCAAGATCTCTGAGGTGACCCTGAAGACCTAGAGGAACCTCAGAACCCTGAACCCGAGCAGGTCCAACGAAAACCTTCAGAATCTTCAGAAGACCCACCAGTGCACCTGGTGGACCCGCATTAGAGACCCTGTGGAAGACTCTGAGGGTTCTGTTGGTCCGACCCGCCTGCAGGTCCAATGGGGACCCTCAGGGACCTGCAGTACGCCCTGCAGGAGAAGATCGAGGAGCTGCGGCAGCGGGACGCCCTGATAGACGAGCTGGAGCTGGAGCTGGACCAGAAAGACGAGCTGATCCAGCGCCTGCAGAACGAGCTGGACAAGTACCGCTCGGTGATCCGGCCCGCCACGGCCCAGCAGGTCCAGGCCCAGCAGCAGAACCTGGTCCTGCAGCCGGACCAGCACCGTAGCAAGAGGCAGGCCATCTCAGCAGAACCCACGGCCTTCGACATCAGCCAGCTGAGCCACGTCACGCTGCCCTGCTACCCCAAGAGTCTGCAGTAAGTCCAGTTCTGCTCTGAGACCGGTTCTGCTGAGGTTCTGTCAGGTGGGTCCAGGTGTTCTGAGGACCCGGTTAGATATTGAGTCCATTCAGATCCACAGCACGAGTCTGAGCTGATATCAGTTCTAAAAGTCAATAAAAAACTGTACAGATTAAAAAGAATGACCCGGTTCTGACCTGGGGTTGACCCGGTTCTAACCTGGGGTTGACCCGGTTTTAACCGGGAGTTGACCCGGTTCTAACTTGGGGTTGACCCGGTTCTGGTTGACCCGGTTCTAACTTGGGGTTGACCCGGTTCTGACCTGGGATTGACCCGGTTCTAACTTGGGGTTGACCCGGTTCTAACTTGGGGTTGACCTGGTTCTGACCTGGGGTTGACCCGGTTCTAACCTGGGGTTGACCCGGTTCTAACTTGGGGTTGACCCGGTTCTGACCTGGGGTTGACCCGGTTCTAACCTGGGGTTGACCCGGTTCTGACCTGGGGTTGACCCGGTTCTAACCTGGGGTTGACCCGGTTCTAACTTGGGGTTGACCCGGTTTTAACCTGGGGTTGACCCGGTTCTGACCTGGGGTTGACCCGGTTCTGACCTGGGATCGACCCGGTTCTAACCTGGGATGGACCCGGCTCTGTTTGTGTGTGAGCTGCTCGTTAACAGAGTTGATTGGTTAAAGGTTCTGTTCTGGTCTCAGTAGTGAAGTTGGTTCTGGTTCTATTCTGGTCTTGGATCAGCGATCAGAGACTTGATCTAAAGTCAGTTCTCTGTGGTCACAGAGGAAGAACCAGGTTCTGTCAGCAGAACATCATCAGATCTTTGAAAGCTTTGATGTTTGAAAGTTTAATTTAATTTTAAAACAATAAAACATAACATTTAATTAAAACAGCTGCAGATATTTTATAATTTTATAAAACGACTCAAAATTTTGACAGTTTTAGGTTTTAAGAAAAAAAACAAACGTTTACTGAAAATAGCTGATAGCTTTACTGTTTGAATATTTTTGTTTGTTTAACTGTTTGATTTATTGTTTTATTGTTTCAGTATTGGATTGTTTTTGGTTTTTAATTATTTTGGTGTTTGATGGTTTTATTATTTAATTATTTTGGTGTTTGATGGTTTTATTATTTAATTATTTTGGTGTTTGATGGTTTTATTATTTAATTATTTTGGTGTTTGATGGTTTTATTATTTAATTATTTTGGTGTTTGATGGTTTTATTATTTAATTATTTTGGTGTTTGATGGTTTTATTATTTAATTATTTTGGTGTTTGATGGTTTCAGTGTTGGATATGTTCAGTTTCTGATAAGAACCTTCCTCTTGGTTCTGTCTCCACGTTCTCCTCCTACACAGACAGGGTTTGGGTTCCTCCGCGTTCTGCAGCCTGAACCTGTTTTTTTTTATTTGAAAGTGTAAGAGAACGTGGGGGCTGCAGACACCCACCAGCTCTCCTGCTGTCTGCTTCATACGAGCCGACACCAGCTAATGATGAGCTGAAGCTGTCCCAGATCTGCTGCAGGCATGGAGACGCTCAGCTGCTCCCTGATGGAGACACAAAGATGTTTTGACATCAGGACATCACCTGTCCTTAAACACGGATCGGTCCATTTAGGTTTGGACAGGTGGAGTGTTTTAGACCTGAAACTCAGAAACTGACTCAGACATGTCTCTGCAGCTGCTCCAGCCTGAAAATCTGACAATCGGAGCACTTTACCAAGAAATAATGAGACATGTTAAAACAGAACTTTATCAAAAATAAATAAAGATGTTCTGCAGAAATGTTGAAAACTAACATCACTTCTCCAGGTCCCAGCAGGAAGTCACAATCTGAGAGTCATGTGAGAACCTTCAGCACGCATCTCGTTCCGCAAGTTTTACACCATTTCAACCATTTATAAATCAAAACGTTCGGCTCCTTCAGGACATTCCAGCTGTTGCGTTTAGTATTTCAACAGTTTATACTTTTTGAGATATTTACCTTTTTCTGCCAGTTTTTCTTGTTAATGAATGTAGCTGCTATCAAACGTCCTTTAAGCAGTTCATGAATATTTACTGCACTTTTCAAATTTTGTTCTTGTTTTACTATTTTAGCTTCTTTGTGCTAATTTCACCTTCCTTTTAGCATTTGTAGCTATTTTTCAACTTATTTCTGCTAAAATCAGTTTTGATGAAATTCTATTTACTTCTTGTTCAGTAGCTTTATTCTGTGGTTTTAAAGTTTTCTGCCTTTTCGGCTGCTCTTTAGCTATTCTTTGCTAAATTGAGCATCATTCGGTGATCTTTAAAGCTGTTTTGGCTGAATTCAGCAAACGTGCTCCTTCAGTTTCTGCTTATTGAAGCTTTTAAATACCATTTTAAAAAATCTATTTTCAGTCTAATTTTTTTTTCAAATACATTCAACTTTTGTGATATTTTCAATATTTAAATACCATTTTTAAAATAATCAATTTTCAGTCTAATTTGAGCTATTTTCAGCTAAATTCACCTTTTATGTTAATTTCAGCTTTTTACTGCTTAAATCAGCAAACATGCTCTTTCAACAACGACATATCGTCATAAAATAGAAAGTTATGGCCACATGCTAATAATTTTTCTGCATGTTACACGTTCTTTGTCTGAATTTCAGTTTCTTTCTCTTTTTTTTTTGTATTTTTTGTACTTTTTTGCTTCTTGCAACTTTTTTCTGCCCTTCATACAGATATAATACTCTGCTCAGTATTTGCTATTTTTTGCTAACTTTAGCTACATTTATGCTGCGTTCAGCTTTTTTGACCCATATTTACTTTCAGCAAAAGTCAGCTGTTTAAATGTAAACTTTTCAGCAAAACTCTTTCATAAGCTTTAACTGCATTTTCACATGAAATGCAGTTAAAGCTAACGATCATTTATGTCTATGGTTAGAGACACAGGTCTGATGGGTTTTGTAAATCTATGAGAGTTTTTTGGTCTCAGGAGTAAAAACTTGTATCTGTATTTGTTGTTTTACTTCAGATGTGGGTTTAGTTCTGGTTTGTGAGAAGTTTTTGTTGTTTATATTTTTTGTTGTTCTGCTCCTCCCTCACTGTTTTTGTTCCTGTCTTTTGTTTTATTCTGCCGTCCGTCACGATCCATCAGATCATCTGCAGACGGAGTCCTCCTCAGACCGTCCTCTGATGGATCTGAGCTAGTCTCCTCTGCAGGATGAGAAAAGAAACAACAGAATTTATTCTCAGGCCGACCTTTAGGTGCCGTTTCTTTAATCTGAGTGTTTTCCCGTGGCGCCTCAGAGACGAATGTTCTGCACCTCAGCTCATGAAGTCCAGAACTGATCTGGGCTGAAATGTCAGCAGAAGGAGGCTGCAAAGACTGGACCAGACTCATCTGGACCCTGATGTTGTCTGGACTCTACCTCGTCTGGACTTTACATCATCTGGACCCTGACCTCGTCTGGACTCTACCTCATCTGGACTTTACATCATCTGGACTCTAAACTCATCTGGACCCTGACCTCACCTGGACCCTGACCTCACCTGGACTCTAAACTCATCTGGACCCTGACCTCATCAGGACTCTAAACTCATCTGGACCCTGACTGACCTCATCAGGACTTTACATCACCTGGACTCTAAACTCATCTGGACCCTGACCTCATCTGGACCCTTACCTCACCTGGACTGTGGACTCATGTGGACCCTGACCTCATCAGGACTCTGGACTCTGATCCTTCATGTTGTCTCTAATCTTTGACGTTCAGGAGGATTCAGTCAGAGGGTCGTCAGGAAACAGGAAGAGATTTAACCTGGACTTTCAAAATAAAAGTCTGTCCCTGTCACAGCTCCGTGACTTGTGGAAGTTGATGGATATTTAGAGTTTTTTATGATCATATTTTAGTTTTAATTTGAAACATCAAACATTTTATCTGCTGTTCCGGATCAGTTCCTGTTTTATTTTTCATTGTTTTGTTATAAAATAAAAACATGAATCACACTTTAATTTGTAACTTCCTGTGCAGGAATCTGATGGTCTCTGTTCTTTATCATCATCCATCAGAATAAATCTGAAACAGCTGGATTTTCTCAGACTGAGTTGAATTTTAACATTTTAATGTTGAGTATTTTCACTCGTCTCGGTTCAGTCCTGCTGCTGCTCTTTTCTTCTGCTCCTGTAACTTCCTCTTCCTCATCCTCTTCCTCTCAGGTCCAAGGAGCTGATAAAGGAGGCCATCCTGGACAACGACTTCATGAAGAACCTGGAGCTGTCTCAGATCCAGGAGATCGTGGACTGCATGTACCCGGTGGATTACGGCATGGACGCCTGCATCATCAAGGAGGGAGACGTGGGCTCGCTGGTCTTCGTCATGGAAGGTGACTCAGCTTTAATCCTCAGAGGATGAACCTGACTCAGCTTTAATCCTCAGAGGATGAACCTGACTCAGCTTTAATCCTCAGAGGATGAGCCTGACTCAGCTTTAATCCTCAGAGGATGAACCTGACTCAGCTTTAATCCTCAGAGGATGAACCTGACTCAGCTTTAATCC